AATTTTAAAAATGTTCAGGCATATCCATCTTCCTTCAATGGCCAAATGTTATTAAGACGGAGTTATTCTTATTCTGTTACCGTTTATCTACAGGTGCTGTACATCACGGGACAAAACTGGGAAAATCCTAAACTCTCTAAGGCTCTAATACATAGTATCTGATTGACTGAGTTAATGAAAATAAATATAAAGTTTTCTGCTTTACTCTCTGACTTGTGTTAGCAACAAATGAATTATATCAAGAAACTGTATACAAAGTATATAGTCTTGACCCCTGTACCATGGAGTGTAGTTGTATACATAAAATGTGATTGTAATTTATTTTTATCCTTCATACCGAGTGTGAATATGTGTTTAATTTATTATACTGGATAAGCAGCAAATAATAGTTATGGGTAACGTGAAATCCAGATATTCCCTTTTGGTGTATTTGGCCTATAAACATCTTCCTACAATTACTGCCACTATAAAATTGAAATTGATTTTGTTTTTAAAATTAGATTTCTTTCCTTATAATGTCTGCAATGGTATGAAATATTAGTACTCTATGAATTCAACTAAGCACCCAATTTAAATTTAAGGTACAGGTTTAATTTTGTTGCTAGTAGTTGGAAATAGCTCACAGAAGACGGTGGTTTAGTTTCTGAATCACACTACTTTTAATTTTGTATAGCTTCTTTTTACAAACATTCTTCACTCTATGGTTCTTTACAAAATCAGGAATCACAGTATTCTGAAAACTAAATGAGTAAAAATTAACCATACATTGGATCAAAGATTTATGGGACTGAAATTATCTTTAAATGAGAAAAGGAACAGAACACAGCCCTCAATTTTACCCTGATTTGTATTTCTGGGAAAGGTGTCATAAGTTCAAATGATGTGAGTGACTATCCATTTTTCAAGAATCTTCGTGTTAACATGGTACCTGATTCAGCCTTTTTATTATATCTTATACTTAATCACATCATTAGTTAATGAGACATAAAACACTCTGCAAAGAACAGCAGTGAATCCTGAGCCTTCTGTTGTATTTCACAAGGCATCCTGTCTTCTTCATTTTACAACATCGTTTGTCTGCATTTTCAATTATCCTTTCTTCCTTATACACCCCCCACCCCATCCTAAAAGGGTTAGGTAGTTTCATGTGGTATGAAAATGAGTAAGTGAAGAAATCAAAGCACAGGTGGAAAATACTCTCTCATATCTATTTCACAAATCTGAAAGGAAAGAAAAACTTCACAAGGATCCTGGAACTCGCATGGACTTTTCTGAGCACATTATTATTTTTTTAAATCGGAGTAGTACATTACTTGGTTTACAAGGGTGAATAGTTTGCTTTGTCCTGAGAAAAAGATGTTCCCTGCACCGTCCTCTCCATGATCAATTCCTGATCCACACCTGCAACTCTTTCTGCTTTTCTTTTGTCATTGAATGTTTGAGAATCCTTGTTTTATCCCCAGTGTTCCAAACTCTTGCAAATATGAGTCTTGATCATGCTTGACACTCAGTGGGCTGTTTCATTCTGGGTACGTGTGCCATTTTAGAAAAATTATCTGTATTGTTTGGTTAATTTTTATTTGAAAAAATTTTGACAGCTTTATCGAGGTATCATTTGTATCCCATAAGGTCCATCTACTTAAAGTGAACAATGTAAGAGTTTTCAGTATGCACAGGGTTGTTTAACTATTGCCATAATAAATTTTAGAATATTGTCATCACCCCAAAAGGAACCCATACCCATTAGGAGTCACTCCCTATTTCCCCCAAGCCCCCAGTGGAAATCACGAATCTAACTTTCGTGCCTTTATAGGTTTGCCTACCTTGGACATTTTCTAGAAGTGGAGTCATGCAAAATCTGGTCATCTGTGACTGCCTTGCCAATTTTTGTCCAGCAGCCAGCTGGAATTTTGATAGGTGTGACCAGATGAGGCTGGTACAGGACCCAGGTTTGGTGACTGGCCAATATTCGAAGGACAAGTGTTGGTGGAAAAGGAAAAGTTGCTTTATTCAGGAGGCCAGCAATCTGGGAAGATGGTGGACTCATGTCCTAAGACCATCTCCAAGTTACCAATTAGGAGACAGAGGTTTTAGAGGCAGCGTGAGGGAGGATGTGTGATCAGCTTGTGCTCAATTCCCAGATTGGTTGGCATCAGAGTGAAGGTTTGAGTGTCACCAGTTGTCTGGTTCCCACCCACCTGGGGTCTGTGTGCTGGCAGCCAGCAGTTTCCATCTGGGAGGGTCTGCTTCCTTTAAAAGCGACTTGAGACTGTGTGTCAGACCTTTACCTCTTTTAAGGGACTGGTATTTCCATGACTCTGCTATGTGGCTGGTATACAGTCTAAGTTAGCACCAGTTTCCTGGCCCAGTGGGTATTCTTGGTTTCCACATCTTCCATCTTGCTAATCAGTAACTCTTGAGCCAGCCCTCTGAGACTCAGGTGAGGCCCAGGAGACTAAACCAAATCCTTTTACTTAAAGGGCAGGAACACAGGGGCTTGCAGCTAGTTGCAATCCCCCCTCTCCTTTGATGCCCTGATCTTGAGAGGAATAGGTGTTGGATGACAAGGGGAGTAGCATTTTGGGTAGAAGTTCATCATAAACTGGGCTGAGGACCTCAGTTTCAGGGGAACTCGGCCTCTTAGGGATTGCGTTGAGTCTGTGCATCAATTCGGGGAGTATAGTCATCTTAATATTATGTCTTCTAGTCCATGAACATGGGGTACCTTTCCATTTATTTAGGTCCTCTTTAATTTATTTCAACACTACCTTGTAGTTTTCAGGGTCCAAGTCTTACATAATTTTGTCAAATTTATTCCTAAGCATTTTTTGGTGTTTTTGTAAATGGATTTTCTATTATGAATTTTATTTTTGGATAAAATTGTTAATGCATAGGAAGACAGGTGATTTTTGTGTTTTGATCCTGTATCTTGCAATCTGATGAACTCATTTTCTAGTTCTAATCGTTTTTTAATGTGTCTTCTATCATTTTGTAAAAGTACTTTTGTCTCTCCATTTTCTGTGTTCTTTCTTTCTGGAATTCCTTGTCATTAGATATCCATTTTCTCAAATGGATTCTTTGATGTTTTTATTCTCTGTCTCTCTCCCTCTCTCTCTTTCCCTGTGTGTGCCTTCTTATTCAACTTCCTGGAGGATTTCATTAGTTTTATATCCCAGCACTTCTATTAAAATGTTTATTTCTGTTTATACAGCTTAAGTATTCCAAAAACCTTTCTTTGTCTTTGTTCCTTTTTTCTTTTCATAACATTATGTTCTTGTTTTAGGAATATAATCTCTTACCTACCTGAGGATCATAATGATAGCTCTTTGAATGTTCTTATATTTTCTAAATATTCTTCCATTCCTCTGGCTTCTGTTTTTGTTTGTTCTGGTCTCCTTTATCAATGCTTGGTTGACTTCACTCATGAGGCACTGCGGCCTTGATCAGACCCTCTGTTTGCCATGTGTGCACGGAGCTTGGAGGCTGGTGGGCTTCACTGCATGGCAAGCCCATGTGAGTTGAGCTTTTCACACTGTCAGAATCTCGGTGGGAGGTTAGTGGGTTATGCTGTTGGGCTGGTCAGTTTCTCCAAAGAGGATTTTTTCAGCCTCCTGTTTCAGTTTAGTTTAGGACGAAGCCTGGCAGAAGGAAGGGCTTAGTTGAAAATTCCTTGCTGCTTTCCTGGGAGCTGATCAGAGCGGAGAGTAGAGAATTTGCAGTGATTGGCTTCTAATCACTGGATAGTCTCAGCCAGGCGCTGGCCACGCTGCCTCTTCTGCTTTGTCCAGAGGATAAACACATGGTTCCCAGCTGGGAGTGAGCAGGTTCCTTTTGGTGGGCATGCTGGCACTGGGCATACTGCTCACATTTTAAAGACATCAGTGCTCTTAACTTACTACTCACGTGTGCCTCCCTTTCTGAGTCCCTGGCATGTCCAATTTCTGACCCTTCCTAGGATTCTGTGCCCAGAATCAACAGGAGTCCTGGTAGATACTCACCCCCTTGCTTCCTCCGGAGCAGCCGGTAGCCAGCCCTGCACGCACTTGCCACCTTCCAGAATTGTCATGTCTGCAGCTGTGTCTCTTGTCATTCTCTGGGTCTTTGTAGGTTTGTGAACTTAAAAAATGTTCCTTATTGTCAGTTTTCAGTGAGGAAACAGATGAGGGCATGTTTTGAATTGTTTTTCATTTGCTGTGTAGAAGCCCCTAAGTATATTTTCACAAACATCATCTCTGCAGAAACTTTGGAGAAAACTATGGGCCAATTAATGACATTTTGAGATATTCCTTCTGTTATCTTTTTAGATTCCCTATTTTTCTCTTTTAAATTTCCTCATAGCCAATGGGAACGTTAAACATTTCACCATTGGCGTTCCTTCTCGAAAACAAAAAGCCTTGGTGCTCTCAGGGGCTTGTGTCTTACCTGTCCAAGAGCTTGTCCATACAGGGGTTTATTTCATGCCACATCTGCCTCTGAAATAGAGGGTTTGACTCTCAGCTACATCCCCTTTCTCTATATTCTTGTCTTCATAATGTTGCTGTAGAGCATTGATCTTTGGCTGGAATGTCCCCCAAAATGAAAGTCATTCAGTATCCACCAAGTCATAAATCTTCCCACCTTCACTATGATTCATTTAGCAATATCACTGGAAGATTACTTTCTCTGTAATAAAAAAAAAATGGGGAGGGATAAAGTTTATTTATTTATTTATTCTAATGGAACTACTGGGGATTGAACCCAGGACCTCGTGCATGCTAAGCACACACTCTACCACTGAGCTATACCCTCCCCCCACTTTTTCTTTCATTTTTATTGATGATTATGAATCAGGTTTGTTTTCATCGATATATTTGAAATGAAACATATAAATGATTGTTCCTTTTCAGAGTGCTTGCCTGTGTGAAAGCATGTTTAGAACTTTTCACAAGTCATCACTGGCCATCATGAAGTGGAATCCCCAGTTAAATGGAATTTTCCTCCTATTCAAACCTGGTGCCCACCCTCCAGACTCCGTGTTCCTGCAGCTCCAACGGCTTTTTCATGTGGACCTGCTCCAAAATCCCTGGGTGTTTTGAGCACTTGGAAGAGCGTTAAAGTTTCTGCCCGGCCCACGTGCCCCATGCAAAATGTGAGCCCCAGGGTCCTAGGAAGCATTCTGGACTGGTTGACAAACTACAAAGAGCCGTTTCATACTTTACTGTTCGAGTCAAAGAGCTCAGTCTGACTTTATTATGTAAAGGAGGTGCATCTTCACAACTCAGGACCGTGAATTAAAAACCTTGGACTTTGTCCTTCTAGTTCATGTGCTCTTTCTTAGACCTTGAACTGGGCAAAGAGGACAAAAGATACTGTTTAAAAGGACTCATCCTATGTTCCCTTTCTCCAAAATCTGTTCTTTTTTTTTTTTTTCAACCCTTTGGTCTATGTATTCTATAGTGACATCTTATATTCACTTGCCTGTGTCCCCTGCGCCACCACTAGTGCTCCAGTCTACGTGTCCTCCGTTCTACCCACCCACCTGCCCAGAGCACTGGGGTCCCATGCAGATGTCAAACGGGGAGTGCGGGGTTAGTTCTTGGAGGGCTCAGAGGCAAGGTCAGTCCTGGGCTGGAGGAGCCATGAGAACAGTGACCTGGTCCCTGTGGACCGGGGAGCCCCGTGAAGGAGAGTTTTGAGGATAAGCGCGTGGGAAGTGGGGACTCAGGACAGGGGCAGGAAGAGGAGAACTCATCTTTTTCTCTTAGGACCACCTTTTAAAATACTAGTATGTTTCCTGTTTATAAAAGTAACCTGGGGTCATTCTCCCACTCCAGTGACTCTCTTGTATCTTTTCTTCTAGCTGTTTCTTCTTTTTATTTATTTTACTTCCTGTGCTGTATTCTTGATTTTGCTGAAATACGTACCGTACTTAGCTCTGCTTTTCATCTGTGAACATTTTCTCGTGCTCTTGAAGTGTTTCCTCTTTTCAAGATTAATGTTTAAAGGCTGCACAATATTTAATCACTGCCCCTATGGTGCGGCCGCGTGGTTTAGCAAATAAAAATACGGAACCCTCAGTTCAATTTGAACTTGCAATAAACAACACATGATTTTCTTAGTGTAGGACTGGCTCATGCAACATTTCCAAGGTAATATTTGGGGCATATTTATCTGAGTTTCAAATCGAACTGGGCGTCCTGCATCGTATCTCAGAATCCTACAAAATACCATATGACTTATACGGTTTCCAGCTGTTGAACATTTAAATGTTTTCACGGATGCAACGGGACGTCTTTGGGCTTAACGTTTCTCGTGCTGAATGGCTGCCTTAGGTGCATCGCTAGAAGTCGAATTATCCTGAGGAGATGAGTATTTTTCTCCCAAGACTTTTCAGACCTGTTGCCAAATCTCTTTTTAAAAAGGTTATAGCAATTTGTGCTCCCACAAGCGGCGTGTAAGAGCGCTCATCCCCTGCGTCCTTGCTACCATTATCACCACTTAAATACTCTTCTGCTATTTTGGCAGGCAAATAATGATATACCATTTTCATCTTTGATTACTAATGAAGTTCACATTTTTTTTGTTTATGAGGCCTTCCGTGTCCTGGTTTTTAAATTTTCTGCCTCCTGACTTCTCTGCTCCTCTTTTGCATGGCTTTGAAGCCATAAGGGATATGTGTTATTTTTATTTATTTACTCATTTTTACCCAGCCACTGGGGCTGGAACCCGGTCCCCAGGCTCAGGTTCCAGGAGGAATTCTGCACAATCATCCCCAGCCTACTGCCAGCCTACCCACTGTGTAAGATAAAAGCTTCCCATGACTTCTAAATGCATTTCAAATAAATCAACTGAAAAGCACAGAAGAGTGATTTTATTCTGAGCCTACAGGATAAGTTTCTTTTCACCGTTCTACCCCGTGCCTGTTTCTAGTATATTGCTGGTTTCAAATGCAGCTTCTACACACCTACTGCATCTGCCCTCAGAACCCGCCAGCCTGCCCTGCAGGGTTCCGCGGAGAGCAGTCTCGTTCCATGGTGTCCGCCACTTTCTTCTCTAAAGATACTGGCCCCATGGATGGGGCTCCATCCCGAAGGAAAGGGAGGGGCATTTCTATGAAATCTGACAGGCGTATTACCTCTCTGGGAGTGAGGTCCACAGCTTCAGCTTAGGAAAGGACCAAAGTAGCAAGACTTGGTTCCTCTAAGAAAGGAAAGGCTGAACTCTGCTTCTGGAACACTTCCTTAGGTTATGTAAAGAGCTCATTTGCACCTCCTGTCCTTTGGACCTCTGACTCGTGATGATGACCTCCCTTGGTCCCCTTCCCCAGCTACTCCAGTCACTTCCCATTGCTGTTAAGATTTAGTTTCTCTCTCTGTGACGGTCCCCTTCCACAAGAAGGCCTCCTACCCGCCACTGAAGGATTCCCAAGACTTGCTTTATGGAAATTGCTCTGTTCTCTTCAGTTTTTCATTCTCTGCGTTGTGTCAGTTCCCCTAGCCTTTGCCTTGCATGAATTTTTCAGCATTATATGGCATTCTGCTGCCTAAATTGAGTATGTCCACGTCACCTGTGTGAGTGTCTGGCTGGGCTCCTGATGAACTAGTTTTTTTTTTTTCATTAATATTACTCAGTACTCATGCCCTTTGCATTTTCAAGACTGCTCTGGGGTCTTCTTTTCTTTCTACTTTCAGCTTAGTATTTTTAGGACGGTACATAGGTTTATTGCTTCTAATTCTATGTAGCTGACTTTGATTTCGGTGATTCTACCATGTCAGGCCCTATTCTTTTACTCTTTTAACCTGCAGAAAATGAATACGAGCTCCTGCCAGGTGCACCGGGACCAACAGAGGCCTTTTCCTGCTCTAGAAAAGCGCCTGGTCTAGTAGGGAAAGTCCCGCTCAGGGCAGACAGTGGGGCCTTGTCTATGGCCATCTTTACATTTCTGTGTTTTCTTCCCAGCGTTCTCTGATGACCACAGAAGTGCAGGAAAGGGAGTCTCTGCCTCCTGTTGGCCATTGGCAGGGACCTCAGATTTCTTGGAAGAAGAATTAAAAAGATAAGAGGAATGTTGGGAACTATATTCAATATCTTGGTAGAAAAGAATATGAATATGAAAAATGAATCTATGGTGAAAAAGAATATGAAAATGAATATATGTTTTTTCATATATGACTGAAGTATTATGCTATAAACCAGAAATTGACACAGTGTTGTAAACTAACTATACTTCAACATACCAAAAAAAAGGAGGAAAATTAGCTCCGCTGGTAAGCATCCAACTTGTAGTCGGTGTGCTGAGTTCACAGCTGGTTTTTGATATACTCACTGAGAGGGAAACAGCTCTCAGCCTCAGTTTTACTGCCTATAAAATGGGACAAGAAGAGAATCTGTGGTGTGATGGAATGGAGCCATGATTCTAATGGCTGCAGCACAGTGCCTGACACATTGTAATCTGCACAGTGCCTGACACATCGTAATCCAACAGCATGTAACATTGTGAAGACCGTCATCCAAAAGATGGCATCTCATGAAGTGTTAAGAAGATACAAATGTAGCTCCTCTTGAACTCAAGGGATGCCAAATATTTACAAATTTTAAAAATTCATATTCATAAATAGACATTTTGCCATTTTACAGATCCTTCCTTCAATGTAAAACCAGCATTACTTAGCTCTTTCCCTGAATACCAACTTGGAATCTAAATCTCAGTAATTATCATCATTCTCAAATAATGTACGTCTCTGGGCAAATGGAAGATACCATATTATCATTAATGTATTTGTTCAACTTATGTAATGTACCCTCTGGGGACTCATCTGAAGCATACATGTATATTACAGCTATAAAATGGATCAGAAAAAAACTGGACTTTAGCATTTCACTTTAGAGAGTACATTTGAAATTAATACAAGAGACACTTAGGCGTTCAAATATATTGCTTGTAAAAGGAGAGTTAGTGAAAGAATGCAATTTGTGAACTCATTTAATAAGGCAGAATTAGGGGCATGTCTCAAAGTATGTCTCCTCCTATAATTTTGCCAGACTTGTACTGGTTTAGTGGGAGAAAACGTATGTGCCACGTTTTTTGAAATGTCATTAATTTAGGGGAAAATTATTTAAAATCAAGAAAGGCTTTTAGGAAGTTCTTAGCCATGAACCTCAGAAGTGATCCATGGCAGTTAACGGCAACAGGATTGTTTAACCGCCTGACTACCCACCAGACCAAATCCCCCTTGGCCCCCACACATACACACACACACAGATGCACAGACTTGCGCACACAAACCCGTCCACACCTGCAGCCACGCGCACCCTGGCTGCTTCTGTTGCTAAGTGCCCTGGCCCCTTACTTTCTCCATGTATTGATTTGGTTTGGTTTCTTTTCCCTCCTTCGTTTGCTTTCCTCCCGGCTCTGCCTGGGAGGAGAAGTCCCCATCTCTCCCACTTTACATTCTGATGAGGCTGCCCTCCTCCTCGCATTCTCCTCCTGGAGGAGAATTGGACCATAACTCATTGTGGAGTCAGTGGTGACTGCCTTCAAATTGGTCAAGGGGGACACAGGCAGATTTTGAGAAATAAAAGCCCTCTCTTTGCCGCAGCCCAAGAGGAGGGGCTGCACACACATTGCGTCTGATAGTGAGGGCAGCGACTTGGCAGAGAGCACAAAACGCAAGTGGCGGTGATTTCAAGCCTGTCTTTCATTTTTGCATATTTAATGCAAAAATATTTAGGACTTGTTTTCTCCAGACTGGACAGCCATCTGTCAGGCAGCACTGGATGTAGTTAGAGCGAGGGACTGGTAGCAGAAGGTGGTGAGGCTGGAGTGCCCGGTCCTTAGCCGGCCAGTCACGCTCCCGGCTTCTCGCTGACGGGCTTTGACCCCAGGCTCTGTTTGCATCTCCTTTTTCCGTGAGTGTCGCTCTCCCCCGTCTAATCGTGCCTTCTGATTTGTTTCCAGGGGAACTTTGTGGCCTGTATGACAGCTATTTTACGGCAAATGGAAGATTATCATTACGCCCATTTAATCAAGACTTTCGGGAAGATGAGGACAGACGTGGTGGTGAGTGTAACTTTGACTTTCATATAACCGTGTGTCGAGGCCAGCCTTTTTG